TCGGTGTCCTATCCCCTGGTGTTTGTTTGTCTCCACGAAGGGCCTGTCGGTGTCCTATCCCCTGGTGTTTGTTTGTCTCCACGAAGGGCCTGTCGGTGTCCTATCCCCTGGTACTTGTGAACGTGACATTGCTCATGAAGAGAGACTTTGCCAGTGATTGTGGCAAGGTGGGCTCGGTAGGATTAGTGTCCTTACAGGAAAAGGAGTCAGACAGACTGACACCCAAGAAGACAGTGTTATAGAGACAGAATTGGGGGGGGGGCAGTCACAAGTCGAGGATCGCCGGGGACTGACCCCAACGCCAAGGCAAGAGGGACAAATGACCAGGGAACACGATGATGGAATGGGGATCACAGGGCTCCAGGAGTGGAGCACACCAGCGACATCCCCACTGCTATAGCGTGTAATTTCCCCCACAGAGCAGTAACTGGCAGACACCTGGAGGTGTGCTTGACCTGGTTAGAGTGTCACTCCAGGATCCTTGAAATCAGTGCATGGGTGCTTATCAGTTCCTGCTGCCACCACTGGGTGTCGCCATTGTCCCGCGAAAGGCGCAGCAATGTCAGTCTATGGCGACTCCTTCACCGGTAGCTGCACAGACTCGGCCCTGCCTGGCCCGGGGCACGCCATTTGTCGCCCACGCTTACAGCAGCCAGCGCCCGGTCAGAGGCCTAGGCCTGCTGGAGCGCGTCTGTCCTGTCCTTCAGAAAGCAAAGCTGCTGTCGGACTTCTAGGGAGAGAACACTTGGAAATGTCGTTTTGAGGTCTACAAGGACACCGTTCTTGCGGAGCTAGCAAGCCAGGCCCTCGTGCTCCCAGAATCAGGCGCAAGCAGTCAGCCTCTCTAGGGGCGTCAGGCCCGTCGCACTCTGAGGTCTCAGGTCCCTGGGCCAGAATCAGTACATCTTTACACCTCACAAGGGGCCGCTAACGGAAGGTAACCACCCCTGCCAGGACAGGCCAGGACTGGCATGCCCATGGAGAAGCCCTTCAGTGTCGCGGCTAGGGACTTGGGTTCTGAGAAGATCCCATAAACAGGAGACTGATGGAAGCGGGGTGACAGCAGAAGTCACCAGAGGCCGCTGTTGCTCCGGCCGCTTCTTGTTCTTAAACTTAAACTGCGTCCTTTTCCTGTATGTGTTAAGCGAAACTCAGGGAGACTGTGGGTGACTGGCTGTGCTGGCTTTGTCTCCGGGGCTTGTGTTAATTGTCTTTGCCACAGAAACACCCTTAGCCCTGGCTAGAAGGCCCAGAGAATTTCCATAGCTCAGGAGCCCTGGGATATCACGGTCCAAGAAGCTCCTTGTAATCAGTGCATGGCTGCTTATCACTGCCTCAGATTCCTCGTGGGAAATTAGGATCAGGTGCTTCCATGAAGCCAACAGTGAAACAGCAGGACTGAAAGAAAAGGGAGCCTTTCTTTTTTCTCCTAGGAAGTGAAGCTTTGGGGTGTATGGGGGGGGCGTCATCTGCCTTTTTTTTTTTTTTTTTTTCAAACAGTGTCTCTTACTGAACTGGAACTTACCAAATAGGCTAGAGTAAAAGATGGTCATTGAGCCCTAGGGATCTGCCTGCCCCCACCTCCCTAGCTATAGAATTACAAGCCTGTGCCACTTCTTCCCTCCCTCCTTCCCTCCCTCCCTCCTCTCCCCTCCCTCTCCCCTTCCCATTCCTTCCTTTCTTCCCCTCTTTTCATTTCTTGGCTGTTGAGGATTGAACACATATCCTTGACTTGAGAGTTTAAGGACTGAGCTCTCCAGGGGTGTCTCTGTTTTTTATTTTGAAACAGTATTTTGTGTGTATCAGGCTGGCCTTCAGCGTGGTATACAGCTGATTTGATCACATTGAACCTCAGCTACTCCTGCCTCCATGTCCCGAGTGCTGGGGTTATAGATGGACTGCCCACATATCCAGTGTATGCAGTGTCGGGGATCAAATTCAGGGCTGCTTGTTCTTTAAGCAAGCACCTACCATCTAAGCTGTTCCCCTAGACCACGGAAATTCTTTCCGCTCAGTTTTGTAGCTTTTTGGTAGAGATGGGCAGGTATTAAAAGTTGTCCACTGCCCTGGGGACCCTGTGAGAAGTGGCCCAGCAGCTGGCCTGTGGGGAAGAGGGACGATGCCTCAGCCAGAAGGCGGCAGACAGAGCAGACAGCAGCCAAGGAGTCCGACAGGCCACTGCCAGCAGGAAAAACAAATCCCGTGCCACCAGATCTATGATTTCAAGGCAAACCGGAAATCTGGATTTTCATTGCTGTTTCCCAATGTTTGAATGTTGGCAAGTGATTCAAATAATTGGTCCAATACCGAAACCCAACCCAAACAGGTCTAAGGGCCAGATTAAGGGCTCTGACTTCCAGTTAGTTGACCTGAGATCCAGACCTCTACGGGACCTTGGCCTGCCTGCTGGTTCACGACTAGCCATCTCTCCAGGCAGTGGGAAGACACGCCAGCACTTGCCCTTGGCCTTCTCAGCTATTATGTAGCTATTTGGGTATAGACACATGAAGGGTTGTCTGGAGATTTGGTGTCTGTCTTTTCAGTATTAACCGCTGAGCCCTCTCCCCAGCCCCAGATTTCTACCTCTTGATCCACAGGAAATAGGAGGTGAACTGAGATGGAGTGAGGCTTGATCATGGGCGACCACAGATTGCTGCTGAGACTATTCTTTACAACAAAAGGAAACAATAGAAACACAAAAAAGTAAATTACTAATAAAAAATTATAGACATAAAAAATAGTTTCTTTAAAAAACATCATTTTCTTTAAGTGGTCCAGGTCTTTTGTCATGTCTTAAAGCCCTGACTTCTGTCCTCTTTATGATCCACCCTGACTGTACATCTTTCCCTTGAGTTGTTTTAGAACTGAGTTTTTGAAATTTTCATTTCCATATATATTTCAGCTTAGATTTTCTTCAATATTTCAATCTCTTGGTCAAAGCAAGGTACAGTGGCGCGTGAACTGGACCGAGGGTGTAACACAAAATCGGGTGTTACACCAACTCTGTGGTTATCAGGGGTAGCTGAGGTCAAGGTAGCTGGGTGCTTACTTGGGGAGGTCTCTGGGGAGGCTACAGGGTGGGGCCAAGGTTTCTAAGTACCGACGCCTATGTGAGTAGTTGGTTGTGGAAAGTATGGGGCAGGTGGTGTGGGAGGTGGGGCCGAGGGGACGTACCACCAGCACCTGGAGCTGGCTGCTGGGGTTGTGCCCAGGGAAAGCAGCTCAGAAGAGGAGGGGGTAGGGCTAAGGGACTGACCAACAGAGTCCTTGAATGCTTAGGTAATTTTTTTTTTCCAGTGTATGCTATTAACCCCTTTCAGACTTGTTCTTTTCCCAAGAATTTTAGGAGAAATGCAGAATTGTCTCCTCACTGTAACTATGGATTTGTCTAAATTTTTGCTCTTAGTTCTATCAATTTTTGCTTTCTGTGTTTTTGAGGCTGTTATTAGATATAGATTTATATTTGTTAGGTCTTTCAAATGAATAGACCTTTTATTATTTTATAATACTTCTTTACCTATGGTGATGTTTCCATCACCTTAAAAATACCTTAAGGTATTTTTTTCGGATATTACTAGAATTCTTTCAAATTCCTTTAGGCATTACATTGCTAAATCTTTTTTGTAATTTGAGTTTTGCTAGTCTGCATGTTTTGTTAGTTGTTTGTTCTTTGAAAATTTCTTATGTATATTCTCCTCCCATCCGCTCCTACTCTTGTCTCCCTCTGACACCTACAAATCCCTTTTCCCAGTTCCATGACTTTTGGTTTCATTTCAATCAGTTTAGTTTAACCAGGGCCATATGCCTGTTGGGGTTGGAACTATTTGCTGGAGCCCAGGGGGGTCATCACTGGGTACACAACTGAAGGCCATGGCTGTCCTTATCCCCGAACCTGTCAGTACTCAATAGTTTAATAGTGAAGAGTTGTCCCCTAGGCCTCTCCTCCACCACTGCCTGACTGTTGAGGGGTCCACTCTTGTGCAAACCTAGTGCAGTTGTCTGTAGCTGCTGTGTAATCGCGGTAGTGTGTCTCTCCCAGAAGACAGCGACCCCCAGCCCTCTGTCTAATCTCCAGCTCTCACGTTTGTTTCGCCCTCTTCTGAAATGTCCTCTAAGCCTTAGTGCTGATATTATATATTGATCAAGTTTACAGTATCAGGTATAGGTTTCTTCCTTTTAAGTGGGTCTCAGATCTAATCATGGGTGGCTTGTCCCCACAATAGTGCAACTATTTATTGTACTGGGGTCACATCTTGCCTGACAGATGGGTATTGTAAGTTTATAGGGCTCAAAGCTGGGTAGGACCACTCCCCCCCCTCCCCTCTGAAACTGCGAAGGCTGGTCGGTAGAGAGGGGACTTCAGACTCAGGTTAGGTTGCTTTCTCTTCATTATGCAACCAAGATGTGCGGTGTCTTCAGCACACCACGGCCATGGCAACTCTAAAAAAGAAGCATTTGACTGGAGGCTCGCTTACAGTTCAGAGGTTCAGTCCATTATCCTGGTGGGCAGCATGGCGGCCTGCAGGCAGACAGGTGCTGGAGAGGTAGCTGAGGGTTCCAATCTGGACCCACAGGTAGGAAGAGAGAGAGTCACTGGGACTAGCTTGGGTTTTGAAACCTCAAAGTCCACTCTAGTGACACACTTCCTCCAACAAGGCCACACCTATTCCAACAATCCTTTCAAATAGTGCCTCTTCCTGGAGACCAAGTATTCAAATCTGTGAGCCTGTGGGGGCCATTCACATTCAAACCTTCACAGTCAGGGAGGCTTTCTTGCTGCCACGGCAATGACCTCACCAGCTTATGGTACCTTTCGGGTATTTACAGTTGCTCTCTAGGGAAACATGTGTGTGTGTGTGTGTGTGCACATATGCATGTGTGCAATCTCACATATGCATGTGTTATGTGAGCGCATGTGTGTTCACATATAAATATCAGTCATTAGTTAGTACACATACATGAAATTCACTTTGTCTTTATTGACCACAGTAGTAGAATCAGAGCGCCTCAGTCAGACAGGATGATCAGAGACAGTGCTAGACAAGCCCCCTCTGGGCCCACCAGCCACTGCCTCCCTCACGGCTGCTTTGCGTCTTTCCGCCCTCGCCCTCTCCACTGCTTCTGGCAGCTCCTGGCAAGCGCGCAGTGGCGGCACTCCTCCCTAGCGCCCTCCCCTCTGCTGGTTCTCAGCTCCCAACCGCTTCTAATCCTTCCAGCTGCCACCTCTGCTGTCCACGTGTGATTTAAGTGCAGAAGTCGTGGTCTCTAAACCTGAGTCATATACAGTACTTTTAACAGAGGAAACCAGAGCTTTGGACTTGATGTAATTGTGCCTATCATGTTAGACACAAACAGTATTTTATATAAACACATAGAACATCAGCCCCACATAAAGTCATGCAAGCAGCGCCCTTCTACAGCTCTTATGTAACCCAAACCCCAGTAAGTATAGAAATGACCAACCAAGGCTCCCCAAAACAGCCCAGCCTCGTCAGCACCTTCATGAGAGCTATTCCGCTGTCTTCCGAATCTAAGCTCTGTGAAGATGTCACCCTGAAGGGATGATGTCCATCTTTACTGGGACTTCACCAGAGAACGACACCCACTGGTGTTTCTAAGTGAAGTAGCCCTGCTCTATTCTTCAGAATCAACTGAATTAAAGAAGTGGGGGTCTGGAGGCGGTGTCTAGGCTGATCTTGAACTAGGCTCACACAATCCTTTTGCCTCAGACTCCCCAGTATCTGGGAGAACCTGAATCCCTTAGTACTTTTCAAAGATGAGTACCATGTGGTCCTGAAATCTCCGGAAGTAGTTTGCGAGATGTTTTTACTCGTGATGTGAACATGTTTGCATTGGTTTTTAAGATTTTCTTTTGAATAAAACTGAAACCGTTACAGAGGCTGTGTGGCCTTTCTCAGAGTGTGTGTAGACCCCCATCTGTACACTTGTATATTTTTCTGGCTTTCCCCGTGGGAACGGCTTTGGCTGCTTTCTGCTGGGCCTGTCCTTGTTACTCTCAACACCCCAGGGAGCCGAGGTCCCCTGTGGAGCACAGGCCTGTTTTTGTTTTGCATTTCCTGGGTGGGGCTGGGCCTACACACCCTGCCCAAGTGAACCCCCAAAACAAAGGGCCTGCTCAAGGTTGGCTCCTGGTGGAGCAAGCAGCTTGTCAGTGGCTATCTCCCAGTAGCTTGGGGGTGATATGGGAGGGGCCACAACTCCTCAGCTGTTCCTGGTTGCTCAAAGTGACTCCACCTGAGGAAAAAAAAATAGCAGTTCAGCCCTTGAAAGAAACTAGCAACCCAAAGGACTGGCTTAGCAACCGAAGGTGTGTTCAACAAAAGCACCTGCTTTGGGACTGTGACAGGAAATAGGATTTCAGAAATGCCACAAGAATCTGGTGAAGCATCAGGCCCTATACTTCCTCCGCATCTCAGTTACAAACTGACTCATGGGCCACCGGTGGGAAACAAGGCTGAAGCCTCTGGCAAGGGTCCAGGAGCTGCTTACGCATGCCTGCTTCAGACAAGACTCCATACTCCTGGTTCAACTCTCACCGGTAAAGACCTAGTCCGGTAAAGACCTAGTCACGGAGGAGAAAGGGACATGAGTGATAGGTTTCTGAACCCCGATAAAAAGTTTCTTCACCGACGCAGTAGGCAAGATCAAGCCCAGTTAAAAAGTAAAAGACAGGTTTATTTGGGGGTCTAATGTAGAGGGCCAAAACACCTTGTCGGCGCAGGCAATGGCACGTCCTCCACAAGCTGCGTTTGTGCCCAATCACAGCGCTTTTAGCTGGGGGTTGTGGAGCTGGCAGCTTCTGGGGAAAACCTGGGCTCGGCAGTTTTTCTGAGAGGGCGGGGTTTGGAGAGGCAGGAACTGGGCTTTCACAGCTGGGAGTTCCAGCTGAATAACAAGACCTCCCAGAACCCTGAACCCAGCAACCTTCTTTGTATCTATGCCATCGTTTATGGCTTTATCGTCTTGATAAAACACATCTCTTTAGGGGCCCCTCCGTGGTCCTTAGGGGAAAGAGAGAGGTGCAGTTTCAGTAGGCAGCAGAGGCACGCCAAATGATCTTCAAGATCATGGAAGGAAGATTAATCCATCTGTGAGGACTAGGGTTTCACTGCAAGGCTGAAAAAGTCCTGCAAGGAGTTCTACATTGTCACGTGGTGTACGCTTCTGGGGAGGAGGGCACTGTATGTACATGGTTGGGTGAGCAAACTGCAACTTAAATGTCCCCACGAAGGGGATCTCGAGATTTCGTTATCTACTTTTAAATAAACCAACTCTCTTAGCAAGGCCGTGGTGTGGTGTGGGAGAATTGTCTGTATTCTGTCAATCATGTATTTTAATAAAATGCTGATTGGCCAGGCAGGAAGTATAGGTGGGTCAACCAGACAGGAAGTAGAGGCGGGGAGATGAGAACATGAGAATGCTGGAAAGGAGGAAGCCCATTCCTCCCATTCCTGCCCAGACCACCAAACGGCAAGATGTAACCTGTCCAACTGAGAAAGGTACTGAGCCACATGGCTAACATAGATAAGAATAATGGGTTAATATAAGCTACACGAGCTAATAAGAAGACTGAGCTAATGGGCCAATCAGTTTTATAACTTACGGAGATCTCTGTGTGATTCTTTGGGGCTTGCCAGCTGTGGGGTACTGGGCGGGACAGAAACCCCAACAAGCCAGCCCTTATGTTACAGTGGTGGCTCACACTTTTAATCCCAGCACTCAGGAGGCAGAGGCAGGTGGATCTTTGAGTCTGAGGTCAGCCTGGTCTTACAGAGGGAATTACAGGGCAGCCAGGGCTCAGAAAGTAACCCTGTCTCAAAAAATCCAAAACTAACCAAACAAACAAAAAAAATAATATAAGACCAAACAAATAAAGCAATGTTGAAGCTGGGCTTGAACTAAAGAGAACAGTGTCCAGGCCCCAAATGGCAGGCAGTAAAAACCGTGGCTCCTGAATCAGCTGTGAAGGTGGGGACTTGGTCAAAAAGCTGAACTAATTTAAGACCACTGAAATATGGTTCCATAACTGCTGAATGTGAAAAAATTTGTCAGGATAAAAATGGGGTCACTTACGGCACCCCTAACCAAAGCATGGGTTAGTAAGGTGCCATGAGAAATGGACAAGGCATTGAAACCGGGTTCATCTTTGTCTCAACCTTCTGGCTGAAGGACCTGATCCAACGCGGTGGGTGTCTGGCTTCAGGTGACTTGGAGTCAAGAGGAGACTCCTTCCTCTTGCTCACCGCTGGGCCGGATGTGAGCATTTATGCTTTTAAAAATAAGTTCCGAAGAGATGCTTCGGCTGTCTGGAAATGATCACAGTCTGAATGGCAGCAACAGAAGCAGGTGGAGAGGTCGGATAGTCACCGGCAGGAAGGAAAAGACCAGCCTTCCTGTCAGAGGCAGACTCCTTGGCCTTGCATGTGGCCATGACGCTGTCTGTAGGAAGGGCAGGATTAGCATAGGAACACCGTGAATGAGTCTGAGCAGGGTTGCTGGGAGCAGTGATGAGGAGCCCACTGACTGGCCTGAGAACCACTGCACTTTGTGACCCAGAGACATCTGAGTACATCCTCTATGTATGAGTATTTTCCTTTTACCTTCACAGTGCTAAGGGCATTGGACCCATGGACTTGAACATGCTAAGCTAGCATCCTATCACTGAGTCTTATCTTCAGTCCTGTTTATTTATTGTTTGGTGTTTTGACACAGTCTCACTTTGTAGCCAACTGGCCTAGAATTCATCCTGCTGTTTTTTCTTTTTCTTTTTCTTAAGCGGGCACAGATTTATTTTGAGCCACTCAGCCTTAAGATAATATGCAACATAGAAACAAAACTACAAAAACCGAATTACCTCTGATCCTGTGTGGCCTTCTGAGAAGGTCTTGGGACTGAAAGGCTCCATGCTGGCCTGTAAGTGTGAAGGAGCTGGGGGTGCGTCTGAGGGAACATGTGGTAAATGGATCGTGGGGGATCTCTGCCATCACTGTGGGGCAGGCTACCCCATTGCTTGTCATGGCTTCAATCAGCCATCCTATCCCAAGGTCAGGACCATCTTCGAGAGGAGGCTCTTGAAAACCAGAGCCTCATAGCACACAGGATGTAGGCATGGTGGAAGGATGCTCAGCACAGATGAGCCAGTGAGATAGATGATCAGCATCATGTGGTCCACACACACCCATGCTCACCCAGGCTACTTCTGCAGGGCCTCCTGTGATGACGGGCTTTGGCTTCTTTTTGTGTTGACTTCTAATGAGAAAACACCAGAATTACAGACCTTGTGTGGAGGCTGTGGACAATCGCAAGCAGCTCCTTCCTGGGCCCAGTACAGTCACATCTGGTGCTCCAGTCTGGTCAGTATGGAAGCCTCTGCTCATTACTATGTATGGGGCCCGAGTATTGTCATTAGAGTTTATCATGGAGCTTCCTGCAGAAGGCCAGGAGAACCATGTGGGAATAACAAACTGTTATGGCCCCTCCTCCCCCATGATCACTGAGCTTGCTCAGCTCCTCTGCTCTGTGAGACAGTGCGCCACAGTTGGAGTTTATCGTCAGGACTGTCAACTCTCCAATGATGACACAGAGACTTATTAATTATGGAAGCTCGGCTGAAAGTCTAGGCTTGTTCCTAACTAGTTCTTATAACTTAAATTAACCAATATCTTCCCACCCCCCTTGGTCATTGATTGATTTGTTATTTTATTTGCACATTCATTTGTACATTTATTTTGTACAATGTAAATGTACCACGTTTTCCTTATCCATTCTTCAGTCGAGGGGCAGTTAGGTTGTTTCCAGGTTCTGGCTATGACAAACAATGCTGCTATGAATGTAGTTGAGCACATGTCCTTGTGGCATGATTGAGCATCCTTTGGATATATACCCAAGAGTGGTATTGCTGAGTCTTGAGGAAGGTTGGTTCCTAATTTTCTGAGAAATTGTCATACTGATATCCAAAGGGGCTGTACCAGCTTGTACTCCCACCAGCAATGCAGGAGTGTTCCCTTGACCCCACATCCTTTCCAGCATAAGTTGTCATCAGTGCTTTTGCTCTTGGCCATTCTTACAGGTGTAAGTCCATCTTGGAATCTCGGAGGTGTTTTGATTTGCATTTCTCTGATGCTAAGGATGTTGAGCATTTTCTTAAGTTCCTTTCATCCATTTTAGATTTTTTCTGTTGAGAGTTCTCTGTTTAGGTATGTACTCCATTTTTTTTATTGGATTATTTGTTCTTTGATGACCAATTTCTCTTTTTTTGGATTTTCGAGACAGGGTCTCCCTGTAGTTGTGGAGCCTGTTCTGGAATTAGCTCTTGTAGACCAGGCTGGCCTTGAACTCACAGCGAGTGCTAGCGAGTGCTAGGATTAAAGGCGTGCATCACCACTGCCCTGCATGATGACCAATTTCTTGAGTTCTTTGTATGTTTTGGAGATCAGCCCTCTGTCTGATGTGGGGCTGGTGAAGATCTTTTCCCATTCTGTAGGCTGCCATTTTGTCTTGTTGACCGTGTCCTTTGCTTTAACAGAAACTTTTCAGTTTCAGGAGGTCCCAGTTATTAATCATTTCTCTCAGTGTCTGTGCTACTGTAACCCATGTCTTTTAATCTATGTTCTTTTATGTGGCTCAGCTACCTTTACTCCATACTCCACATGCTGCTTCCTCTCCATTTGGCTGGCAACTCCACCTTCTTCCCAGCACTCTCTCTGCCCTGAAAAATCCTGCCTAACTACTGGCCATTTAGTTTTTCAATAAGCCAATCACGGTGATAAGTGTAAGATGCAGCTGACTACAGATGGTCATGAACCTGGGGGCAAATGCTTAAAAGAGCCGGGGCCCATTGTACACACCCTGCACACTTACGGTGTGCTGATCCAATGTGACCACACTCCAGAAAACCTCTGTAGGTTGTCCACTGCAAGTTAAACTGGGGGGGCATCTGGTGAGTGAATTGGCATTAACGAAGTTATCCATCCCTCCGACACATGCCACTAATGAATAAACACATATAAATGCAGGCTTACCTGCGTTCTTCATCTAGAAGGACATATCTCTGGTGGTTTCCATGGACACCAAACTGCTGGGAAGATGAATCAGAAAGTTACATGGGTGTGGTGGTGCACACGCCTTTAATCCCAGCACTTGGGAAGCAGAGGCAGCTGGATCTCTTGTGACTTTGAGGCCAGCCTGGTCTACATAAACAAGCTACAGGACTGCAAACTACAGGAGAGCCAGGACTACATGGAGAGAAGCAAAGAAAAAGAAAAGGAATTTGAAGTTAGACGTGGATGGCCCTCTGCTCTGCCTTGAGTGAGTTACTTTAGTTTTTGAGCCTTAGGTTTCTTTCCCACCTGTAAAGTGGTGATAATGTTGGACTCTAGCGTCCAAACACCGAGAAGGAGTCGCCCCCAGAGACCATCTCACACACTACAGCCGATGCAAAAGCATGAGGATTTTATTAATTCTATCATGACAGGGTCCCCCAGCATTCGGGAAGCCGAAGGACCTCGAATAGCGGGTACAGTCTACTTTTAAAGGGGCCACAGAAACAAGGGGGGTTGTTCTTTGACTATTCTGATTGGTTTATTTGAAAGGGCTATTACCAATAATTGACTGGAGAGCTGTTGCCAGATCAGATGAGGTAAGAGGTCATTTTGACCCCGTTTCCCAGGGGACCGAACCAAAACATACGTATATGGGTAATTGTTCAGGAACTGAGTACGTGTGAATGTAGCTGTTAGGTCCTTGGTTCCCAGGGGAGGAGGGGAAGCACTATGGCACAGAGGCTGAGAGGATTCAGAATTGTCAAAAATGGCTTCAGGATTGTCTTAAAGTCTTACAATAATATCGGGGCAACTGCACGAGACGTGGATGAGTGTCTCTTATCTAGAACTAGAAGAATAGGCGTAGCTCAGACACCCAGTTTGGGGGTTCTAGAATATTTCCATAGACCTTCTTAGCTGAGTGTCATTCACTTGAAAATCTGAAATCTAAACACTTCAAAACCCGAAACTTGCAGCGCGTCATGGTTCAAATACCCCAAACATTGCAGCGATGTGGAACTATCTGGCCTCTCAGCCTCCTTGTGGTTAAGGAAGGATCCTCACAAGCTTGTGTGGGGAGGAGGGGTGAGTGCCGCAGCCAGGAGCAGGCAGGAGATAGCATCTGGCTCCTAGTCAGCTGACCCACAGGGGCCTGCATCAGGGCCTCTGTTGTCATGAGGTCTGATGGCTTCCGGGAGTACCTCAAATTCAGGGGCTGCAAAAATGGCACAGTGGGCTGCCACTGCCCTCCAGACAGTCCCGGGGCACAGCAGGCACCTGTACCTGTAGCCAGTCAATATCTTCCACCACCCTGTCTGGGGCACCCTGTAGAGAGTGTGTGTGTTTTCTTTTCCTTCTCAGTTCCCCCCTCCTATTCTGTCTTTTAAATTTTTACTCTCAAAGCACAGCTCCTGGTAGAAGACACTAGAGCTATGGCCCGAGGTCCAAACCTGGCCAGCGCCTGTTTATGCGTGGCCTTACAAACTAAGTAAGTTCTGGCCTTCATGACCGTGCTAAGTTAGAAGTCTCTGGAAAAGCTCCAGACATCTCACTAAAGTCATACGCTAGTGTGACTCGCCTGCCGTGCAGTCTGCAGCCGTTTTGTGTCACACAGACTAGTTATGCTTCCCTCTTTTGGGAGAAAAACAGTTGCTTGTCCCTGAGTTCCAGATACCCTGCCTTTCAGAGGGGCAAAGCTTCCTTGGGGCCCTCCTTTGAGGAGAGCACACAGGGTCCCAGCTTCTAACTTCAGCTCCAGCTGACTAACAAGTGCCACCCAAGATCCGCACTCCCGACTTCACAAAGAAAGACAATAGCTTGGAAATGCTTTGAGACAGAAAGGGCCGCTCTGACACGAAGATTGGCCAATTCTACCGCATTCTGCTAAAGGTCTGGCTCCTCGCTCCAGTTTTCAGTTTGACAAATTGGAGACCTTTGCATTTGTGCAAGAGAAGCGGGAAGCGAGTCTAAGGCTTTTTACCTGGCGACTTACATCGCTGGTTGTTTCCTCATACTCCAGTAAAGCCAGGCATGGCTCTGCGTCACCTCAGGGCAGCTAGCTGACCTTCCCTGCTTATGACAGACACAGCACCTACACACTGTCTAAACCATCCTTGTAAATAAAGGCTCTGAGTTCCCTGTGCTGGTCCCCTTGAAAGTCTGAGGAGGGTCAGTCACAAATGACAATGATCGACTTTCTTTACTAACAATCAGGAACGCTGGCATGCAGGGGCCATTTCTAGAAACTACCATGTCTTTAACTGTGAGGGTTGCTTGTTTTTACAGCCATCACAGCTTCTAGAAACCACAGCTTCTAGTGGTACCCAGTGCCCACAAGTCACCTGAGATGACTAGGACCCTGAGAAAGACAGCAATTGCATATTACCCGGACAGCAAAGCAAGTTGCAGTGTGAATGGCAACCGCACCCCTGCAGCAGTTCCAAAGCATGCAGCAAGCGGCTTTAGAAATGGCACTTTGTTCTGTTTCTGCTTTACGCACAGAGCATGCCCGCTCCTAAAAACACAAACCCACATCTGAGCCCACACCATAGCTGTTGCAACAAATCGCATCACTTAAGAGTTTTCATTGTTTATAATGGCCTATATTGGCTGTGCAAACTGGCCACCTGTGTCCGTTCAGAACCCTCTCCTGCTCCGTCCCCTCATTCCAGTATTCCCCAGCTGCCCAGCAGGCTAGGATTCAATATCCAACAGCAGGATGCATGGAAGACTTTTTCCTGAGGAGAGCTGGGTGGGCAGTGAGGACCTGTGTAGCTGAAGACGGAGTCATGTGTTGTTCTTTCACGTGACTGGATGGCTAGGAGAGGCCTGGATGAGGTGAGGTGGCTGGGGAAGGACTTTTCTGAGGGTACTGGGGTGAGAGCTGTCAGCCAGCTACCATCCCCCGGGCCCACCTGCCTGTTCAAGCAAGGTCTGTGATAAGTATTTGGAAATCTTGGTAGTGGGTCTCTCCACCGATGCAATGAGACAGATCAGGCCTCAACTAAAAGTCCTGATTTAATGAACAAAGTATTCCCTGGTGATGAGGAGGTGGGGGTGGGGAGAATGGAGGGGGACCCCGAGAAGGAGCCACTGCTGGATGGGTTTTCTGAGGGCCTGAGCTGGAGATCCCCAACCATCTGATTAGCCCTGGTGAAGGCTGCAGGTAAGACCAGCTAGTACCCCATCCCTGCCAGAATTTCCAGCCAAGGCCAGAAAATGCATTTGGCTAAACCGTTCTCATTATTGGTCCTTGCAGCTAAGTGTCTGAACTGGGGGCTGAGGATTGCCCTTTTTCTCTGCTTCCTCTACCTGGTTACTCTCCAGATTTACTGTGTTTCCATTCCCTCGTCTGAAAAGGCCTGCAGTTCCACCCTCAGCACAGGCTTAGAGACTAACACAGTCCCTGGGCTGTTTGGAAGCCGATGACCACCCAGGTCTGAGCTGTTTAGAGTCTGTTTTCCCCTTAGGCCAGTTAGCCAGAATGTGTGTCGTCTGACCAAACCCCTTGGAGAGCCTTTAGGGTGACAAAGCATAGGGTGTCTCCTGGTGGCGCTGCTGTGGGACCAAGACCACCCTAAAAGACACCCCCATTCCTGTTTTGATCCTGCTAAGGGGACCATGCAGAGCATTCCAGATAAGCCACAGCACACAGGAGGGGCTCAGGGATGGAGGATGACAGGGACGAACATTCTGGAGTCTGGTTATAATGAACAACATTACAGATGGCATTTTGTGAATGAGTTACTTCACATGCAAGGGCCTTTGTTGAACTGTATTTAATATAAGCCGTGGTCTCGGAATTAAATGCTGAAATGTTCTAAAAAACCCAAAAACAATAAGGCAGTCCTGAGGGTGACTCTGGCCTTGGCTCATACTTACTGTTCTAGATTTGGGGGTCTCAGTTCTAGAAACGTCTCAGTCTTCTCCCCACCCCATCTTTAAAGTGCGGTGACTGCTCTCATGGATTGGCAGGACGGTCCCTGTTAATACTGCCCAGGGTAGAACCTTTACCCAGGAGCACCAGGCCTGAGAACTGAGCTGGAGAAGGGTCTCCCGCCCCCATCCCCTCCTCTGTGGGCCTTACCAGCTCCTGCTGATGACTGGCAGGGTCTCCATTTGTAATGCCTTTCCGGTGGAAACAGAATGTTTCAGGAGAGTGCCTCCCGGTCCTTTTGTACTTGTTTCTAGAAGCAACTGGCCCAGGGGCTAAAGGAACCTGATCTATTGATTCCCACACTGGGCAGCCAGAGCCCTAGACAAACAACTGTCATTCGCGAAGCTGGCCAGTGTCCTCCCATGACCCAGCAGCTAGAGGAAACTGTAGGAGGGCTTTTTGAGAGCCTGTCCCAGGCTGGGAGTAGTAACACAGGAGGGGTGGGAACATCTTCTCCGGGATTGCTTTCCTCTCCAAAGGGTGTGTGGGGAGTCAAGCAGTTAGAGGCAGTTTTTATATTTAAAAAACGTTCTGAAAATAGTTCTTTGTGACTGAAGAACACATACTTTCTGAGCCATTTCAGGCTCTTGGCTGAAAGCGGGCTGGGAGAGGTGAACCGCCTTTCCCACAATGCAGCGGAGCTCTGGTTGAGACCTCTGAAGGCAGAAGCCAATCAGTCTCAAGTGTTCCCAGGTGACTCCAGGGCTGGGGGATATTGGGCAACAGGTCTCAGGGGAGGGTTTGCTGTTGTAAGTCGAGGTGAGCACACTCCCTCAGCTTTGGGTCTTTCCCGGTAAGATCCATTGAGTTCCTCAAGATCGGAATGACAGAGGCAAAGGCCCTGGGGAACTCTGCCAGATCGGATCACTCCTCCGTTAAGCTCAAAGCCCTCGGGGGTAAACCCACAGGGTTTAGGTCCAGTCTTGGCACTGTTCAGACTCTCATTCAAGGGTCTCTTTCCATCCTTTGACAAAGAAGATCAAACGAAGGATGCCAGAGTAAGTCACTGAGGAAGGACTTGCCTGAGAGGAATCTTAAAGCCCCACGTGACAACAAACACTCCCAGGACTTACTGAGCCCAAGAGGTGGTGGCTCTTACCGGGAAAGGGCCAAAGGGAAAACCGGGAGAGAACGGAGACATCCTGGAGAAGGGCAGGTGTCCCACGTTTTTAAATAAAACCTTGTGATCTAAGGAAAATAGATTCATGGGAATAGATTCACACATTTAGTGGTGTGCTTAATTCTTGTTTGCTCTGTAAGCAATGCATCACCTTTTACCAAACAGATTAGGGGACTCGGCGGCGCTGCTGGGACGGAGTCTTCCAGATGGTGCCCGTCTGTGACTGTAAGGCATGTCCCCTGATCCCGGCACCGCGGCCAGGCATCCCAGCAGCTAAGCTGCTCTTGGGCACCTGGGACGGGAGAGAGACAGATGGTAAAGCAGACCTCAGGCTCAGGTTTACTGACTTGCAGCGTGTCGGGAAGGGAAGCCGCCCAGGGCAGGCAGCAGTGTGGAAGCCTGTGAGCCTGCGAAGGTGACACGCATCAGAATCGCACAGGTACGGACCTAAACTCCCATACTGTGTGGCAGTAGGAAAGCTCACGACTTTGAGCCATCTCTTCTGTCAGGGATACTACTTCCCTTCCGGAGTCTGATTAGGTGTGGCTGCGTATGAAACATTTAGTGGCATGCTTAATTCAAATCCTTAGAGTGGCAGGCATTTTAGCTCATGGGAAACCTCTTCCCTAGCTTGCCCTATTACCTAGGACTTGTTCAGGGCAACAGGTCAAGTGAGGTTTCTATTTTCCATTTGATTCAAGCAAAGGTTAGTAAAAAGGGACACATTTACCCTCCAGGGTGGAGCTGGCAAGGTCTGAAGTCAAGAGTGTTTATGTACTACTGACACCTAGTGGGTAGAAGGCAGGAAACACTGTAGGGAAGAGTTCTGCTCACTGCCTCCCTGACAAAGTAGCCAGCCTCGAACAGCAGTAAAGGATAAAGCGGAAACCTGGACCTAAAGAGAGAATTCGGGCTTTGACCAGTGCAGGAAGTGGAAGCAAACAGCCTCGTAAGTGTGGGCTCTGGCAGCATCGGAAGACGCCATCAGACATCAAAGGCCTTTCAGGATAATCCGAGGAAATTCAAGAGCACGTTAAAGGCAGGAGACTCAAGACTGACTCCTCACTGGACGGACTGAAGTAGGCTTTAGGCCACATGATGCTCAAGTTTGGCTATAAAATGTCCCTGAAGGTTTAGATATAAAATGTCCCTAAAGGTTTACGTATCGAAGGCTTGTTCTCCCGCTAGTTGTACTACTGAGGCAAATGGACATGCGGACACTAACTTCACCAGGGGATAAAATCATTCATTGGTGAGTTCATGGCTAAAAGGTCTGTTAAAGTGAGGTGGGGAGGGGTGGGGAGCATTTGGAGTGTGCCTTTGAAAGAGTACTTCCTGTCCACTAATGAGGGGAGCCAATTTCCCTCACCTCATGCCATCTGCCAATGATATTCTGCTCAACTCAGGGTCCTAACGGAAGCAAGCGAAGGAGATCTCTGGCCCTGAATCGAACACATCTTTCTTCCTACATCACCTCGGGTGGTTTTAGAATGTAATCTTATGTGTCTGGGTGTTTTGCCTGCATGTGTGTCTACAGCCATGCCTGTGTGCTGTTGCTCTTGGAGGCCAGAGAGAGCATCACAGCTTCTGGAAATGGAATACAGGATGTCGTGAGCCCTAGTACCTAGATATGGGTACTGGGAATTGAACTCGGCCTCTGGAAGAGCAGCCAGTCCTCTTAACCAACACATCATCTCTTTAGCCCCTGCGGCAGAACTTTGTCACCGAAGCCAAAACTGCGTTAACACGGACGTGAAGAACAATGGAAACGGGAGGATGAAATAGGAACAGTAGGGACCGAAATGAGCTGTCCCCCGGGGAAAACGGGCATCGTCGCAGCGTGAGCCCACTCCTCTCTGGGATGAGGAAAGTACAAAGCGGAAGCTTGCACAGCACTGAAAAAAGACAACAAGGTCATCTGCCTAGGCCACAATTTGCTCATGTATATTTTAAAGATGAATTAAAGAAAAATACACATCCCACCAGTTTTGGCTGATTCTGACATTTCACTTTAATAACTAGTGAGTTTACAAATTAACTCTGAAACAAGATTTGGTCCCTCAATGTAGGCCAAACCCTTCGTGGTCATTTAATGTCTTGAGACTACAAATTAACTGTATCATATTGAAGTATGTTGCTCATCTTTTGATTGCTGTTTCTAGGAATTAAGAAAGTTAAGAATTAAAATGAAAAATACTTAGTTTAGCAATAAAGGAGACATTGTCAATGGAATCTTTTGAAGATGCACTTGGACTTCAGGGATTTTATTTTTTTCAGATTTAAATTTTTACTTTAAGCCAATTACTTAAATTCTTAACACAGCTTCATTCTCTGTAAAATGGAGATAACAGTGCCTAAACTCTTAGGACCACGGTTGATTAAAAAAGATTATGCACATGAGGCTGTGTTCTGTTGGCCACATGGCTAGAGGCAGTTCCCGAAACTCAAGCTTTTCCTTCACTCTACTGTTCCTTGGGACAGAATCCTGCTGCACTTTAGGAGAACCAGAACCAGGAGGTAGCTAGGTAGGAGACCAAATTAGCTACTTCTTAGCAGCTCTGGGATTCTCTTGAGCTTCGCAGAGTCTCTAGAGGTATTTGAATTCACAGATGGACAAAACAATACCTGAAGTATAGAGTCAGCAAGACAGGGAAGTAGATACCCTCTAAGGAAGGCAGGGAAAAAGGAATCCTGAACTACAAGGGATGAAACCCCATCACTGTGTCTTAGGAGATTTGCAGGCCTAGCTCAGAAGCAACCTAGGCACAATCCTCAGGACTTGAAAAGAATGGGGAATGACTAAGAGCTCAGGTGTACTCCAGAAGGTGGGACAACCCTCTTTGCTAGTCAACTTCAAATTAAAAATCTGAGTGACAGAGACGTAGTCGAAGTGGTTCTGTCTTCTGCTTAAAGAGGGTTGCATCGAAGTGTGTCCAAACAGCAGTGCTGGTAGAAGGGACACCCATAGGCGCTATTCCTGAGGAAGGTTTTAAAACCCACTTCCTGGGAGACAGATTACACAAAGGGCAGGACCTGAAAACGCTTAAAAGGTTGAGAAATGAAAGGAACATCCAGAAAGGGCTGTTCACTTTGTGCAAGCCTTGATTACAAGCTCTGACGTGAAGAAGGATCTTACAAAAAGAACTAGGAAACTCCGGCTTGGGAAAAGATGGCCATATATTCTCATTGCCAGACTCCCATCTTGAGAACAGGACCTTATCTCTCTGGTTTAAACGCAGTCAAGAAAGGCTACTGAGGACAGTCCAGCCAAAGCATGTTTTTGGAGATGGCGTTCTCAGATTCAAATGACAGCAGCTCTCAAAGTCTGAATTTGGTGAACCTTCGTCCTTACGCTCAATGCTAACCCTAGAAAGATAAGGAGCTGTCCGGCGTCTAGGGAAGATCCTCCAGCATTCCAATGTGCATTTCCACTGGAGAGGAAACAAACGTGTGGAATGTCAGCCTGGTTGTTGCCATTTAATTTCATAAAGCCTCATTCAGAGCCCAGTCTTGGCTTTCTTGTAGTCTAGAAACAAAGTCCTTAGGTAGCAATGGCTATTTTAAGTACGTAGCTTTACAGGATGGGGCAGAATTTGGTGGTAGCACCTGCCTAATATATATGGGCCCATTCCCATGATCACATGAAACCAAACCAAAAGGACACACATATTCCCAGTACTCAAGAGCCTGGAGGAGTCTGAGTTTGAGGCCAGTTTGTGTTATGCAAAACAAGATCTTGCTTCAAAAAAGGGGTGGGGGCCTGGTGGTGGTGGTGCATGCCTTTAATCCCAGCACTCGGGAGGCAGAGGCAGGAGGATCTCTGTGAATTCGAGGTCAACCTGGTCTAGAAGAGCTAGTTCCAGGACAGGAACCAAAAAAAAAAAAAAAAAACTACGGAGAAACCCTGTCTCGAAAATAAAAAAAAAGAAAGGGGGGAAAAAGTGGAGATAGAGTAACCTAAGAGTCATTTCTAATACCCACATGACCACTTACATTTTTTTTGACAACAAACCTTATGTTGTCAACAAGGAATAAGGAGCATATCTACTTTTTCTTGTAGTGAAGGAGCCTTCCAGAAAATTTTACCTTGTAAATAGTTTCTTAGCAAGTATGGACTATTTACCGTTGCTTAGAGATGGAAAGGGTATAGCTAAAACATATATTGAGGTCATATAATTTCAAACAATTATACTGTATTACC